TAGACTCCTAAAATATAGAGATTTTTAATAGTATATTAATATTAGTAAAAAGTAAGAAAAGTATATCTTGAAAGTGTTTCCTTTGGAAAAAAGCGAAAGAAAGCGCGAAAAGTCGTTCAATCCAGTGGGAGCGAGAAATGCAAAGGATTCCGTTCCGATTAGCGATCGTCATGGAAACACAAACACGCGCGGCGCCCCCTAGCGGAAAAGGAAGAAGAGAGAAGAAAAAAGAGCCGATCATAGCTGCGCCTATATACGCGTATATAACGCGATTTGTATATATCTATACAACGTCTCTATCTGCGAACGGTTTGGCGCTTATACGCATCGGCCGTATTTAAATTTGTGGCCCCTCGCTCGTGCGGTTGTATAGCCGGAGAGACAGATTGGGAGAGAAAAGTTGGGACGCGCGAGGAAAAGGAACAGAGAAACGGTGGGAAGTGAAAGAGGAAGAGACGAATGGACGCGGAAGAGGCGGAGAGATAGAGGCGCTCGACAAAAGAGTAGTGGGGTGGTAGTGCTGGCAGGGAGAGACGGAATCGGTAGAAAGCAGCAGTTCCCGCTCTCGGGAGCCGGCTGGGCTGTTATCATGAGAAACAAGCTTCCACTCTGATTTTTTAATCCGATCCGCACCCCCTGCCACCCGGTTGAATTTTAAAATAACTGCAGAACGCCATTTGCTCCTCGCAAACAGACCGGGGGTTAAGCCATCGTATTCCGTCTCCCTTTCTCCCACCTCCGTGCCACTTTGCTATCTTCCTGTACCTCTCTGTTTCATCGGTACGCCGCGCGATCCTGGCGTCGCCACCTCCACCCCCTTCTTCCTACTCTCTTCGCCGTTTCTCATTCTCTTTCGCTCTTCTCGCGAACATTCCACGAGAACTCTCGAACCCTCGACGCGGCTCGGATGGATGGGACGTAGATATAGGAATTCTGGGAAATGTTATGTATTGGAAATTGATTGTTGGAATCGTTTTAACAAGTTTATCTCGTAATGGAAAATTTATTAAATATAACGTTTCTGTTGCTTTCGTTAGAATTACATTCAAGTATTATTCCATTTTGCATTTTCTTAATGAACTTGTGAAAATATTAATCTGTTAATTATTTTAGGCGAATAATCAAATATTTTATTATATCGTCAGAATAAAAACAAATATACGGTTGAGAAAATATTTTCCTACAATTATTTTTATTTTTTCTCTTCTCATTTTATCCAACCTGGATAAAAACATCCACGATGTAGATTCTCATCCATGTCAAATTGAAATGTTTAGCGCCTCCTTTCGGCTGTTGCGAATCCCTCGTGTGAAAAAGGGAGAGAAATATGGGAAACAATCGGAAAGAATACAGGGAGAAGAGAGATGGAAGAGAAGATAGGTTGTGTAGGCCTGCCTCGGGGAAGGGTAGATAAGTGACAGTTTTATTAATTTCCCATCTCATCCTCCCCAACTCCTCCCCTCCTCGACACCAGGGACGTCAGTCCACACACGTTTCTCCTTCCATCTCTGTCCTTCCTCGAACGAAAGAGGGTGGAAATAAAGCTCGATAATGGCGGCCGCCCGTCACGGCCATCACCAAGGTGCGCTTCCGTGTTGGCTTCTGCTAGGATTTTGATCCACCGTTATATATATATAATCCATCTCATTCATATTTACCGATTTGGCTACGTAACAACGAATAATCATTATTTAATCGAAATTAAATAAGATAAAACATATATTTCCGAAGAAGGGCGAATCTAAAAAAGAAAAACAAGATCGAAACTTTAGAAAGGAGATGTCGAGATGTCGCTGAGGGGATGGAACAAGGGAAAAAGCCCAACTATGCTCTGCGAACGAAAGAAAGAAGGGGAAAAAATGGAGAAGAGGGGAAGGGGAGGAGTAAGCATCTCCCGGCCGCGCTTCACCGCTGGAAAATTTAATTTCGATCCCGTCGATTCAGCAGTTATACCGAAGTTTAATCTTTGATAAGGGTTAGTCTTTTAGTAATGGGATCCCAGGGGTCTCTCCGTGGGCGAAGCGTTTCGAGGGGGTGAGAGAGAGAGAGGATCGTTCCACTCGTCTCCTCCACTCCTCTGGAATGGAAGGAAGGAGCTTAAACCGTTAGATAGAGATCTGCTCTCGGGATGAAAGTAGTAGCTACCCGCTTATATCGTTTCCTCTAACCGAGCAGGACTCCTTGGATACTTTTATACCAAACTGCAGGGGAAGGCGTAACGAGCCTCACGATTGGATAAGTTTCCCGACACGAGCTTCCACTGGAGGAGCCTTCTTCTTCTTCTTCTTCTTCTTCTTCTTTGTCTCCTCTCCCCCCAACTTGCGGCTCAGTGTGTCTCTTTGTTGCGACCAACCGGCTCGAGTAACGTATCGAGACTTGCGTGCACCTTGGCAGCCTTACATTGGCGGCTGGGTCACGTGCCACGAGAACGTCGAAAGGATTTTGATGAAAGGACGATCGAGCGGCTATCTGTTCATCCTGATTACGATGGACCGAAGAAAAAGTAATAATGAAAATAGTGGGAAAAGGCCAAATTGATATATAGAAGAAAAGAAGGGTCGGAGAGTAGTATATATTTTGATACTTGACGCGCGTCTAACTTGTATCGTTTCAGTTATGGGATGGATCTAAACGGGGCCAGACGGAAGAACGCGACGCGAGAGACGACGAGTACGTTGAAGGCCTGGCTCAACGATCATAAGAAAAATCCTTATCCAACGAAGGGCGAGAAGATCATGCTAGCCATCATCACGAAGATGACTCTGACCCAAGTGTCCACGTGGTTCGCGAACGCGCGGAGACGTTTGAAGAAGGAGAACAAGATGACGTGGGAGCCGAGGAACAGGGTCGAGGACGAGGATAACAATAACGAGGATGACGACAGTGGGAGGAAGAGCGTGGACGAGAAAGATCGGCTAGGTAAGTGCCTTATTACGCTTCCCCGTCTAATAATCCAAAGATCCACAGCCAAAGATCCACCATAGTACCATATCTTCACATTCGCAAAGAAAAGTGCCCGCCTCCTTCGTCCAAAAGACAAAAATCCGCCTGTCTGCCGCAGACTCAAAAGACTCGGGCACCGGATCGAGCGAGGACGGGGAGCGGCCTGCGCACCGGATGGACCTGCTCGGCACGAGCGGCGGTTCCACTGGTGTCCAGGGTAGAACCGAGAGCGAGTGGAGCGAATCCCGAGCAGACAGCGGCCCAGACAGCCCGGAGTGCCTCTACGACCAAAGAGAACCTCCCAGACACCCTCTACAGCTGCAACACCCCGCCTATCTGGCCTCCTCCCACGGCCGACTGTTGCGCCACCCGTCTCCCGAGAGCACGCCACCTAGCAGCCACCAGGTGCCTCCAAGCACAACGGCGTCCTCGACGGCGGGTAGCGGCGTGACCACGAAGCCCAGGATCTGGTCCCTGGCCGACATGGCCAGCAAGGGGGATGGGGAGCAGCAGAGCCCGATACCGACCACGATGACAGGCCTGTCATCGCCTTACGGCGGAAGTGGCGGGGCTGGCGGAGGGGGTGGGGGCGGGGGCAAGCTGATGAGCCCCCTGGCCAGTCGTCTGCCGCCTCATCACCCGCTTGCAATGCACTCAGCCGGGACGCAATTCGTCCGGCATCATCCCGACTTCTACCGTAACCTGTACGGGGCCTCTCACCTCGGCTCGGGAGACATGTCCCTGTTGGAGACCTACTCGAGGACCTTGGGCGGGTTGAGCGGTGTCATGCCCCCCTCCACAGCGCCCAGCATACTGACGTCGTCCGCGTCAGCCGTGTCGGCCAGCGGTAAACCTTTCTCGATTAACGGTGGCAGCACCGCGCCAGGTGGCGCTGTGCTCCTCACCACAGCGACCTCTGGCCTCTCCCCCTCGTCCTCGTCCACGGCGTCCTCGGGCGGGTCGGACCAGTCCCCCCACCCGAGTCTCTCGTCCACGCAGGAGCTCAAGTCGCCTGGCCGAGTGTGATTACGAAGGGGTGAGTGTGACGACGGACATTGATATTGAAATAATATATTATATACGCCGCGCAGGCGTTGTGTGGTGTGGATGACAATAATAATCAGAGACTATGGATTCTTGTAATTATAGTGTACAGTTTGACCGAATGTACGAACGAGTTGGAAAAAATTATGATAATGTAACTGCCTCCCTCTCGGACTCCCTCGTTTCCACCGTTCCTCTGCTCTGTCTTCTTCCTCGGTCCCCTCCTCTCCTCCTCGTTTTGCTTATCCCCATCCTATTTCGGCGCGAAATTTCGTCTTGGGCCATTTCTTTTTTTTTTTTTCTTCTTCTTCTTCTTAACGTTCCTTTTTCCATTTTCTCGATTCTCGACGAATTGTCTAGCTTTCCATCATCCAGCCGTGTCCATCGAAACATTTAGAAGAAAATTTTTCAATTTTTGATTTTTAAGAGGAATTATTTATTTAGATTTAATTATCAGAATTATTAACAATTGAGAGAAAGATTTGGAAAAAGGTTTGGTCCCTCGAAACGAAATTCGGCCGATTCCTGCTATCTCTCTCTCTCTCTCTCTCTCTCTCTCCCCCCCTTCGTTGTGAGCTTTCTTCCCCGACCTCGACGAGAGAATATTAGAGTGTGTGTTGTTAAAGGAGAAGAAGAGAAGAAGAGATTTGAGGAGATGAATCGATGAAAGGAATAGAAAAAGGAAGAAAATGGAGAGAAAAAATCGTAGGGCAACCGTTTATCACTTCCGTTAGAGCAGCGTCGCGACATTTAAAAAAAAAAAAAAACATGAAAAATAAGAAATGAAAAAAAACGAAAAAGACACACTATCCTAGGCGTGTGTCTTACTTTTACGACAGGTAATAATATACATAAAGAATACTATATATATATATATATAATATATATATATATATAAACACACGATAATAATTAATAATTATTTATGCGTTTGTAAATAGTAGAGAGGGCCCAGTAGAGAGCGTCCGGCCAGTGTATGTATTGTATGTAGAGTAGGTACGATATTATTATTATAATATTGGAGATCATAATTCATACTAACAACGACGACGATGATGATGATTATTATTATTATTATTATTATTATTATTATTATTCTGATTAATTATTATTATTATTATTATTATGGATTATTATTATTATTATTATTCTGATTAATTATTATTATTATGGATTATTATTATTATTATTATTATGGATTATTATTATTGTTATCGCAATGTTTACGACATTATCGATTCACACGTCGACTCTTGTCGATCATGACGAGGTATGGATCGTTGGATTTAAAATGAGACAGATTACGGAGGCCGAGCGCGCAGCAATGTTTCGAATAAAAAAAGAAAAAAAAAGAAAAAAAAAACAAATTACACCCGTGCCCGTATTTCTCCGTTCACAAGTATTATTTATTTATTCCTATAGCGAGTTCGACGGAGAAAAAGGAAACCGTTCGTTGCGTTTTTTTTCATTTTTGTTTTTATTTTTTTTTTTTTTTTTTCTATTTCACCCTCCTCTCTTCCCTCTCTTAATGTGCTCGAGTCTCTATTCGTAATCTGAATTGTCGGAAATATCGCGTTGCGCCCCGACCTGTCCGCTGCGAAACAGGATGGTGTGTGCTTTGCCACCTTTCCTTCCAGAAATATACATATATATATATATATATATATGTGTGTGTGTGTATATACATATATATATATAATATGTATACGTACTATACATACACGTGAGAGTGAATGAGAGCGTGTGGACTCCTCGTTGGACGAGTTAGAGAGAGAGAGAGAGAAGAGAGGCGCGCAGGGGCGCAGCGGCTGTCAACATATCATGTCATGTCGAGAGTGAACGATCGCCATCACCTTTTAGTCATTCGTGTCCAAAATTTCACGCGAGCTTGCCGATGCCACATTGGCAGATGGCTTGCAGACTGTGTCCTTTCGCAATAAACGAATCATTATAAAAAAGAAAAAGAAAAAAAAAAAACAAGGTCTACGAGGTCTTCATTCATTTTTTTCTTTCTCTTTCTCTTTCTCCTCTTCCTGGATCTCCTCTTCCCCCCTCGCTCCCCCCCGATCGATCATCCTGTCCTCCTCATAATTCTTGGCCGCCCCAATCTGTGAGAAGATTTAGGGTGAGATCGATTTTTTTTTGTACGTAATGATCTATCTTTTACACTTTGAAATCACTTTTAATCACTTTAGATGATTATATGTAAGAAAATTTGGTGATTTACATTAGTTGTACATTGTTTTCTTTCTTTTTTCCATATTATTCTCCGTCTATTAAATCGAGGAATTTATGATTGACGTTACATTTTTATTTTACATTTAGGTACTTGAGAATCTTATGTACCAGATACACACACACACACACATTCGAATGAAATCAAAACGAAATAATCAAGAGCAAGAATCTACAGCCAGGTAAACAACACGAGTGCACATTTATCGCACGTCGCTTCAAAGTGACGACCTAACCTCAAACGTCCAATTTTCGAGAGCGATGCAAGGCATCGGTGTCTCGACGACGAGGAGAGGATCCGGCGTCCGCATAACTCTGCGGGGTCTCGCACAACAACCCTTTGAAGGTTTATGCCGATTCAGGAACGAGTTGATTCATGAAGACGGGATGGACCTCCTTGGGATCCGCGGCTCGGTGCCTCCAAGGCCGTGGCGGGTGGTCCCGCGGCTTGATTTCTTGTTTCCTCCACCAGAGCGTCTCTCCTCTCCTTTCTCTCCTTCTCTCTCTCTCTCTCTCTCTCTCTCAGAATGGAGAAACGGTATTATTCGTTGGACAACGACGGAGGGAACGGAGAAGAAAAGAAGAAGAAGAAGAAGAAGAGGCACCGAGTCCTTCTTCCCTCCCGTATCTATACCTATACCGATTGTCGATTTAAATGTTTACTAATAACCAAGCTTGTCCCGCAACCACCCAGAAGTCGGCCGCTTTGCATTTTTATAAGTACATCTTACGGCCGGTTCCAAGAACGAGAGGAGAAGACGTTTCATATTCATCCGGCCAGGGATGCGCCGCGCCGACCGACTGCCTCCTCCTTTCCTCCTCGAGATATAACCTCCTCCTTCTGGCGTGTATTGTCTCTCCAACCACGCATGCGCCCCAGATTAGCCGGCAGCCGGCATAATCGTTCTCTCGGTGCTTGTCTCGGCTGGGAAGGATCGTTAAGAAGAGTGATACGTTCTCCGTGGTATTCTGCTGTATTATATACACACGTGGGAAACGCGGTGGATCGAAATACTTTCTCGAGTTTTGCTTTCGGTTTGGATTCGTAGGTAATGGTAGGTAACCATTAAAAATATTTCACTTGTATCGAGCAATGGTATTTGAAATTTTTACGATTGAATTGAAATCTTGCATCTGTTTCTCTGTTTCGTTAAAAAGAGGGAGAAAGAAGTAAGATTAATATTTACAAGCGTTACGTACGTGTACTCGATGTGTAATTTCTTCTTTCGTTGAGTCTAATTTTAGAATTAAAAGAGTAAAAGGGGGGGAAAAGAGAAAAATGTATCGGGACACGCGGTTAATGCCGTGAACGGTATTTAAATTGCTGGGTAAACTCGTTTTATGCCTTCCATAAAGATACCAATGCGCAAAAATGCCAGGTGCAGGGGAGGAGACCTAAGGCCGCGTTTCCACCAGCCGACTCTTGGGCCCCTGGACGAGATAAAGCCGACCCATTACCAATATATAGTAGCTCAGTTGTAAAATGATCGTGTCGTCGAGTACTAAACCGAGACAACACTATCTGCCGCCCAACGGGGTGTTCGTTTTTAGTGGCATTACCCGACCAACATACGATAATCGACCACTTCTCCTGCACGTGTATACCGAATGCCTCAGGATGGGTGGTACGGAGGGCGGAGGGGAGGGGGGGGGGAGGGAGGGGAGGGGGACGACCCCTTTTTCTTTTCGTTTTCGAAAAAATCAATCGTTTTGGAAATTCTTTTTGATTTTTAAAATAATTCCTTGCCTTCTACTCATCCGAGTAGAAGATAGAAGAAGTTATTAATATTTCTGGTATTATAAACCGTACTTTTATTAGGAATTAGAAGATAGATTGCTATTAAAATCATATTGCAAACTATTGGTTATGATTAACTAAGCATTTCGATAACTCGGAAGGGACGTGATAGAAGGCTATAAACTCCGCAAACTTTCTGTAAAGATGCTCCACGATTGTAAAATATCTGTGATGAAGTGGACACTATTGAAACATCTTTTTCCAATTATTTAGAATACTTGCTGTCAGCCAAAAGTTGGCCCAAAAGTGAAAGGGATCCAATCGAAACCATCACAAACAAACCACTAAACTTTTATATACACCCCCTCGTTCCCAAGATAAAATCATCGAACACGAAGGAGACAAAAGGAAAGAGGGAGTTGCAATAAAAATTAACAGCCCCCCAGCTTCGGGTCGCCAGGTCCTCGAACTCTCTCTCCCCTTCCCTCCCCCTCTTCCCCCCCCCCGCCCCTTAGAACCCTCCTCCTCGTAAGTCTTATCCTGGAATGGCTGCAAATGGTCGCAGGTTGGCACCGGTTAACTCTGGACACCTCTGGAGCTCGTAGGGCGATAAACTATACTCTAAACTGCCGCGCTCTCCCGATGCTTTATTGGCTTTTATCGAGTTTTAACGCAAGCACACCACGGATTCCTTTATGGAAACGCCGTTAATTTTACGACGCGGGCATATTTAGCCCGGCGGGCTTCTCGTAAAATCATACTTCAGCCCGCGATAAAGTTAAAACATCGGCAGGCTTAAAGCAAAGTTCGCCTCGTAAATATGACGGGGGTGGAAACAGCCGTGAGACAGTGTCTGTTACGTGTGCGTTCGGAGGGGGTGGCTTTGCTCGTCGTTCTAATTAACTTATGGTAATTAACGCGAGTCGTGGGGGAAAAGATTTTTATTAGGCTTCCGCGTCTTTGCGGAACTTTCTCTTTTTCTTTTCTTTTTCTTTTTTTTTTTTCCTTCCATTACGTAGCTTCGATACAGGCTTTTAATTTTCGTGTCTCCGTTTCGGTGGGGGATACGCTGCTTTCACCTTTTTCAGAACAATAAAAACGAAATTAATGACGACAATGTGCAGCACAATGTATGTACAAATACATAAATTTGGTTGAGACGTGGAATTCTTTTGGGGACGAGATTTATTTATTTGTTAGGTTATGTGAAGTGGACGTTTAGTTTTTGTTCAAAACAATCAAGAAGAATACCGTTTGCATTATATATTTCTTTCAATAATTTTCGAGCTTCAAGATAACCCAGTTAAAAATTTACAGATACAACATATCATTATACGATACTCTTCCATCAAATTCAAGCTCAAACAACCTAAGTATCTCGAGTTAAAATCTAATCTATTCAAGTTCGATCTTTCAAAATCTTGGATCAAGAAAAACATTTTATCAGCGTATTTAACCTCACTTTACACAATTGAGACGAATAACGAATATCAAACGAATGCTGAAATTATCCTACAACAATCAAATTTTCCCCAACACACCTAATTTCAAAACGGTAAAAAGTTCGTCGTGGTGCGCCTAACCTCACTTTACAAAAAGCACCGTCGTCCCTTTAACACCCATAGTATCCCGCGTGTCGAAAGGTAGCATAGCTGTGTAGGAGGTGAATAATGAATGGCAACGTCGAAACAACTTGCTGGACCAGCGTCTCCTCGTTCGGTAGAGGGCGCAGTTACCGCGCGAGTTCCGGGTGGAACGACATGAAAAATTAACGG